GAGAACCAGCAGGAGTTCGGCATGCCCCTAGATCCCAGGGTCCTGAAAAACAGTCTAGTCTCCTTAAAACTCAGTCACGTAGGCCGGCCATTACAGCCCCTGCCAAAGTGCACAGGTAGAGGGTGTGACTAGAGGCCTCAGGGCCTAGGGATTTACATACTAATGAAGGCCAAAGGGCGGAGCAAATTAAGCATGCCTCCCCAGATTCTCCCCCGATCCTTCCCAGATCCTCCCCCTTTCTCCCTCCCTATATAACTCGGGACTGCCCTGAGTTTTACAAGGCATACTTCCAGATCTATCCACCATCCGCCATGACAATAAACCCTTTTGGAACCAAAAAAAATAAAATAAAATAATTTCCTTGAACTACTGAGTAATGTGTATATTCTGTTGTGTTTGTTTGGTTGTTTTGCATTTGCCTGTTAGATCCATTTGATCTATGGTGCTATTTAATTATAGTTGTTCTGGTGTATGTGTGTGTGCGTGTGTGTGTCTGTGTCTGTGTCTGTGTCTGTGTGTGTCTGTGTGTAGTTCTTCTAATGATAAGACTGTGATATTAAATTTGTTATTGTTGCATTAGCTATTAAGTGACTATATCTAGTAGTATTTGTTCAATGAATTTGAGTGACCTTTGCATGTGTATGTGGGAGATGGAAAGTGAATCTTGGCAAAGAAGAAGTGGGATAGAGAGCAAAGTCCCATGGATTCTAGCGCCTGCTCAAGGAATCTTGATTGAGACGTACACTGCAAGTGATCTAAGATTAACTAGTGAGACAGAACAAAGGACCATCCCCTACAGAATCACAGTCAAGTGAATTCAGCAGGACAGTGTATGGAAAGCCCCCTTTGGACCTTTTTACAGAAGCACATCCTCACTGGCAGAAAAGTTGTGTATAAGTTATTGTACTAAACAATGAAAGTTAGATTTGCTCCCTGATGCTGGTCTCTAGAATCTGAAATCCTGGGCATCTTTGTGGACTCATCTCTGGTTTTTCCTCCTTTTCCTGGCTCCGGTTCTGACATAGTACGTAGAATTATAATTACTTTTTGATGAATTGTTCTTTCGACAGAATGAAGTGACCTTCTTTATCTCCTTTGATAATATTTTGTTTCCTATTTTGTCAAATGTTGTAATAGTGACCCTTACTTGCTTTGTATTTTGATTTGCATTGAAGATCTTTTTCCATTTTTTCCCACCCTAAGATAACCTGTATCCTTCATGACCCTGTATATTTTTAGGAGGTAGTAAAAGGGGGGTCCTATTTTCTAATCTAGTCTGCTAGTGTGCTTGTTTTCTTAGGTAATAATCAGAAATCAGATTTATCATTTAAAGTATGTGTGACCTGACTTGGGGCATTCTGTTACTAGTTTGTCCTCTTTGCTTTGCAGTGGTCTTATCCTTGTACATTCCCCCTGGGAACCTGTTAGGTATACTTAACTTTTTCTTTAGTGTGAAATTTTTCTTGCAGTAGTTTCTGTCAGGCTAACTTCTTGGTCATCAATTCTTTTGGCATTGTTTTCTAAAGGAAAGCTTCCCTTTTTCCTCACATTATGGTGACAGTGTTTCCAAGTTACATTAGGGTGGGTTGTCAGTTATAATTTCTTTAACAATTTAAAATACTTCTTCCCAATACCATCGAGCTTTTAAGATTTCCCTTGAGAAATCAACAGCTAATGAGATTGGCCATTCTTTCATGGTGTTTCCATACCCTTTCTTTTCCTGTATGTTAGTATTTTAACTGTGCTATATATGTTGTGGGGTGTTGTGTTGTTTTTGTGTTTGTTTTCTTGCCTGTCTCCTCAGTGTTCTATGAATTTCTTGAATCTGTCTTCCTAGATTTGCAATTTCTCTTTCCTAATGTTATTCAAATTAATTCCTATTTCTTTGGAGTAAAATTCTTCTCATCTTATGACTATAATATGCATTTTGCTTTTTTGTGTAATGCCCAAGGAGATATTACATATTCTCTTCACATTCATCTTTTAATTCCTCACTTACCTCAACTGAATGATTCAATTCCTCTACCTTGTATTCGAACCCCAAAATTCTCTCCATGAGATCTATACAGTTTGAGTCCAGTGAATTTCTTTTCTGCATCATCTTTTGATTTTGTTTTTCCTTCATTATGCTTGTCTCTTTATTGATCTCTATTTTCATATCTTAGTTGAATTCTTTTTTAATTCAGTGATTGTGTTCTCTAGAAAACATTCCTGTTCTCTAACTTGTCCAAACATATCTATAATCATTCTTTTTGTTTGTGTGTCTGAACTTTCATCTATGTCATTTTGTTGAAGATAGTTATTGTAGGATTAATAATTTTTGGATGAGACAAGTTTTATTTGGTATTTATGTTCCTGGTAGATTGAAATCTGCCCATCTTGGGTTATATTGTTGACTCCTATTTTTATTGTTGTTGTTGTTGTTTTAATTCAGTCACTTCTACATTTAGTGATGGTACTTAAAAGGGTTAAGCAAAGATTTTATGTAGTAGGATTGAAGTGATATTTACTCTTAGATTATTATCCAGGGTAGCATGCTCTTTCTCTGGATTTTCATTGAAAGTTGAATACTGGCTGCAACTACAGTCTGAGTCAAAAAGTAGTTCCACTGTGAAAATGAAGTGTGAGATGGCCTTAAAACAGTCATTGATTAAGTACAAATTTTTGAGGAGAGTAAAGGGGCACACAACAGTATTGTGTGTATTAATGGTTTAGTTATTGAGGAAATGAAAAGAACAAAGAAATTAGTGTGAATAGTGATCAGTATTAGTTTGTATATACAAAGTAAAGGAGAGGAGCATACATAGAAGTAGGAGTTGTAAGAGTAAAGAAAACAGGCTGAGGGAAAGACGTGAGAAGTTAAGTGAGACTGAAAATAATTTGTAAAGATACACTCAATAATATAGGACATTGGCATCTCTCAGAGGATTTGAAAAAACCAAAGATATTTTGGTTGGGAAAAGCTTTTAATGGCTGAGCCATCTTTCCAGACCAGCTGTACTACAGATCAATAGTGATTAAAACTGCATGGTATGGGTACAGAAACAGGCAGGTTGATCAATAGAATAGAATTAAAGACCCTGAAATAAACCCACACACCCCTGGACACTTGATTTTTGACAAAGAAGCCAAAACCATACAGTAGTCTAATGATGCTGGTCTAAGTGGTGGTCTTCAGGTAGAAGAATACGAATTGATCCATATTTAACACCCTATGCAAAGCTCAAGTCCAAGGGGATCAAGGACTTCAACATAAAACTAGGTCCACTGAATCTGATAGAAGAGAAAGTGGGAAATAGCCTTGAATGCATTGCCACAGGAGAAAATTTTCTGAACAGAACACCAATGGCTCAGCCTACAAGATCAACAATTGATAAATGGGACTTTTGAAACTTCAAAGCATCTGTAAGGCAAAGGGCACTGTCAATAGGACAAAACAGCAGCCTGCAGATTGGGAAAAGATCTTCACTAACCCTACATCTGATAGAAGGCTAATATCCAAAATATATAAAGAACTCAAGAAGTTAGACTCCAAAAAAAAAAAAAACCCAAATAATCCAATTTAAAAATGAGTTACAGAGCTAAACAGAATTCTCAATGGAGGAATCTTGGAATGCTGGAGAAACACTTAAAGAAATGTTCAAAGTCCTTAGTCATCAGAGAAATGTAAGTCAAAACGACTCTGAGGTTCCATCTTACACCCATCAGAATGGCTAAGATCAAAAACTCATAGCACGTGCTGGCAAGATGTGGAGCAAGGGGAACACTTCTTCATTGCTGGTAGGAGTGCAAACTTGTACTGCCACTGTGGAAATCAAGTTGACAGTTTCTCAGAAAACTGGGAATAGTTGTATCTCAAGACCCAGCTTTACCACTCCTAACTGAAATAAACCACCAAATTCACAAACACTATTTCCAGGATTTTGGTAAATGCATCTCTAATCTTGACAACTACAGAAGTTCTTCATGTTGAAGGTACATTCTAAATTCAGCATCCCCTGTTCGTTATAAAACCCAAACACTGTGAAGAAAGCAGCCTGATGACAATCCTAAGCCCAAAGAAGTGCTGGTGAGATGGGGTTGGTTGGTAAAATGCTTGATTAACCTTCATGAGGGCCTGAGTTTGGATCCTCAGAACCCACATAAAAAGCCGGCCAAGCCTCTATTTCTAAAGCTGGAGGTAGGGATGTCATTGGCTTTGTCCTAATGTCACTGAGTCCCAAATGTGCAGAAAAAAAGTAGTGTGGCTAAGTGGAAAAGGCACGAGGAACTCATTGACTACAAGAGGAGCTAAATGCATGCTCTAAAAATACCAAGTATATTCCCTTTAGATAGAATGATAGCCCAATATGTTCCGGATTTACTCCAGGGGGAAAAAGTCAGCGATGGGGAGGTTCTGTTGTCAGTTTGCCTGGTGAGCTCCATTTGAGAAAGGAAGGGAGGG